TTTGGTTACGCACTAACAGCTCTTCCAGCTAAGCTACCTGAGACATCGTCTGTATCAAATTTTCAGTCAGGTAATATGGTAATAATGTTTTGTTTAATACGATAGAAAAATATTTATTAAAATATAGTAGATGTAACTATTTATTAATAGTTACTTAACCCTAGACTGGTCAACGTATGAGCGTGACGCCGCGCTGAATTATATTTCTTTATTACATCTTCAATATTTACTAAAATTATCCAAAAAATTTAATGGCCTGAAAGGCCATGTATGCCTATTTATAATTTTTTAACCATTGTAGTATTTAAAATCTCCGACAGGCGGCGCATGATCGCTAAATTCTCTCCTTGGAAGAAAGTTAAATCTGCGGTTATAAGTTTCAAAGTAAAAATATTATTTTTAACCCTTAAAAAGCTTATCTAACATTAATTTGATCATCCTTAAAACCAATTTTTGTATAATAAATTCATTTTTTCCTCAATTTCGTTGGAAAACGCAAAAAATAAAAAAACACTTTTTTGCTTTCAAGAAAAAAATTTTTTAATTAAAAAATTGATAAAAATTAGAAATAAAATTTTTACCTCGTTAAAAAAAATTGGCATTAATAACGGGATATATTTATCTAGAGTAATTTCAATAATTGATAGATAAATGGGTAATTAGACTAATCAAGTTCAACGATTGCGCTTCAATTATGTGAACATCAATTACTTGACTTTGAATTTTCATTGCTCATAAACAATTTATGCATTAAACATTTTCTTGACGGTCAACGAGTATTTAAATACCAATTATAAAAATAAAAAATGTAACTTACTTTGAACAGCCCAAAGGGTTCCATTTCGTAACTCCTCAAGATACCGAAGCGCGTGTCTTTTGCAATTTCCCTCGGGAATAGTCGGAGAAGATGCGAAAAAAACCGGCAGCAGAGGAATTTTGGAGTACCATGATATCCCAGAGGTAGTTAAAGTCGAATCACTGTTCACATTGACACGTCTTCTGGGTTGTATCACAACACTAGTGTAATTTTTTTCTTCCAACTGAAATTCAGCAGCTTCACGAGTGTAGTTTTTGGCACCCTGGCATGTTTGATTTAAGGAAAAGTTGTGGCAAAAGTCACTTAGAGAATGGTAGCAGAATACTGACAGGAAGAAACAACTGAGAAGAACAAGTATTGATTTGCAATGCATATTGATTGAATTTGTTAATGGAAATGATTGTAGTTAAGTAAGTTAATCATAGATAACCGAGATTGTATGGAGCGGTTTATTTGTGTTTGTCTTTTTCCTTATTCATACTGACTTATAGCTATTCGTTCCTTCAACTTAAATAGAAGCGGCAAGCGAAAGTAATTCATTCAACCTTTGGTCAAATATATTCAATCTTAAAATTGTAATAGAGCGAGCAGACTAATATATTAAGTAACACAACGAGTGCGTATGCTGACATTGACTATACTTTTTAAGTTAATTTTTAACAATATCAAGGACGATTTTTCTGATTTATTTTACACAGTAAAAAATATTATGTAAAATCAACACAGTTTGTGTGTTAAAAACGGTTGACACAAAATATGTGTTGAAATTTCAACACAAATTTTGTGTAACCCCTTTTTAACACAAAGATTATGTTGAAATATCGCCACAAGAGGGCGCAAAGAATCATACACTTCTAAAGTGTCAAAATTTTCATCTAAATTATAAGAGTGGACTAGTATACGTTGCGCGCGCCAGCGCGCGTGTGAATGTTGGTATGGAGTTATCTATATTTTCATGTTTATGATATATTTGACCAATCACGTTACGAATAGTTTGCTCTTACATGATATATTTTCATATTTTTCATCTAAATTATAAAAGTGGATTATGTTGAAATATCGCCACAAGAGGGCGCAGAGAATCATACACTTCTACAGTGTCAATCTTAACACAAAATAAATGTTAAATAAATTTATTTATTTTCATCAACTGTTTGATGCCTATAACATAACCTATGAAATAATTTTTTTTTATTTCCTCAACTGCAGTAAATTATATTTATTTAAAAATGTTTTTTTTTTTTTATCATTTACATTTTAACGAAACATCAACAATTACCGGCTATAAATAATTGGAAGGAAGAAAGTGTGAAAAATTTTTAATAATTAAATTAAAAAATAATTTATAGGTTTTAAAAGTGAAGCGGCAGAGTTATAAATTTATGAAAATGAAGTTAACCGACATTTTAAAACTTTTAGAAATTTTTTATTGAAAAAATTTCAATTTAACAATTAAATGGAAAAAAAATGTCACATCTAAAAAACTTTAAAAACTAGAAGTGCAATTTTTTAGAAATATCTTTTTAGTTGTAATTTATTTAATAAAAAAAATTAAAAATTTTTAGACGTCTACTAACTTAAGTGTCATATAAATTTAATTGTCTTTATTATTTAATATTTATTATATTTTCGTGAAAATGTTTGCTGCGTAAAGTGAAGAAGTGATGTTATATTAATGGAGAATTTGACACAAACTTTGTGTTCATTCCCAAGTAACATACAAAATATGTTAATAAAGAGTATATAACACATTTTTTATGTTACAAAATAAAATGACACAAGCTTTGTGTTATTTTAACACACTACAATTTTTAACACAAACCGTTTTCGACACAAATACACAATATTTTTTACTTTATAAAGTTTTATATGAAAATTTTGAATATTTTTCACGATATTAGTCATTTGTCGCGGTGCTCCGACAAAAACGCGTTTTTCTCGAAACTACTTTTTTCCAACTGGTCTCATCTACCCCTATGAAAAAAAAAAATATAAATAATATATATTTTGAAATATAAAAAAATATATTTTTAATAACTTACTTTTGACCGATTTTCATTTATATTTTTTTTTAATTTGTTTAAAGTCGCATAAACTACTAAGGTCATGAGCGGCTACGGTAGGGGGTACACTTTTGAGATTGGAACTCGTTTGTATTTCTTGGGCTGAGCAGAATAATATACACTTAAATATTGAAAATATTCCATTGGTGTACGCCGGATTCGAACCCGGTCCAATGCTTTGGTAGCAAGGGCCGGATCCGATAGGCTACTGCGCGCCTCCTTTATATATTTTAAAATACATATTTTGAATATATATAAAATATATTTGAAATATATAAAATATATATGAAAATCGACCAAAAATTAGTTATTAAAAATATGTAATTTGCATAAATATGAACTATTATCCCAGTAATAAAAATTTTAAATTTTCTTAGTGGGAAGTTAAAAATTCCCGATAATCACCTATTTTTTCGATCTTAGAAATAAATCATAAGACGATTGAGTTACTTGTTACTATTCGAACTATCGTAATTTTAATATTTTTATCCTCGCCTGTTACAATTCACTAATTTAATATACATACATAAATTTTAAATAAAAAGAACTATAAAAATCCAACTCTTAGCTAATAATTTTAGTTTATTAGAAATTACCCTAATAGAAATTATATAATAAATAAAAACTGATCCTAATTGCTTTGATGACCCTAAAAATGATCATTTTATTATAGTAACCATTCCCATAATTTTTGGAAAGGTTCCTATAAATTTATTAGATATTAAATAAGATAAATATTAATAAGATATTAAAATATCACATTTGTTTATAGTTAACAAATTTGATTTGACTGAAATATATATGATTTTATAGTATTAAAAAAAGATTTTTTAACTATAAACAATTAACTATTTAATTAAAATAAATACACTTAATAAACGATATTTTTGTCTCAAATAAATGAATTTATTTGTGTAAAATAAGTATTAGGTGGTATTTAAATAACAGATTTATGTATAACAAACCAATTTCATTTGATTTAAATAAAAAAAATTTTTTCATCTATTAATTCTTACACTACAATAAAAACGAGATAAAACGATTGTGATTGTTAATGGTTCAAATATTTGGAATTATTACACCAATGTCATTATATATTGCCATATTTTTTCTCGGATTTCATTACTTTGTTGTAAATAAAGTTCCTGTACCTTTAAAATTATATTTATCAATCGCTTTTTAAATAAAATAAACGCAATTACAAGATTGATAGTGGAAAAAATTTGCTTGATCATTATTTTATTGATTATTAATATATATTTATTCATAATTATAATTAGTAATCAATTCCTTTGAAGTCATTAGGTATAACGTTTAATTTTTTGTGCTCTAAGTGACAAAGTATGCTCTTAAAAAAACTACCGAAGATTCCTTTTTTTGCTAAGAAAATTTTCATATCATTATTATTAAAAATTACGAAAAAATTCATTTATTTTTTGATAGAAGAAACTAGATAAAATTTAGAAAAGAAATTAATTAAAATTTTACACGGTAAATTTTTTTTTAAATTATAAATAAAATTAAAAATTATCTTACTCACCGACAAATAATAAGGTAGAGCTATTTTTTTTATCAGTGTAAAGTCATGCTTAAACTATAAGCATGAAAGGAAAATAAAAATATTATCTCTGATAGAGAATTTATTTAGATACTAATTAAATAAATAAATAAAGTCTAAAACTTTAACACTTCGGGAAAAAAAAAAACGGATTAATACGAATGATTCTAAATGCGCACACTTACCCCGTATTAAGGGTAAGTGTGCGCACTGGTGTGGGGTAAATTTCCGCAACTAAGGGATTTTTAATGCCCTAAGCAGACTGATTTAATAATACTTACATAACTTTATTGAGACATAACATAACTTCAAATGTTATGCTAAATAAAAAGCTCAGATACATTATTGACTGAAAAAAAATTAATTTACTTTAGTTACTATCCTTAGTACAGTGTGACAATCTTTGCCTTAACAGAAAAATTAACCTTTACGCCGCCACACGGAAAGAACAAGATTATACTGGATATAATCGCAGATTATACTGAGTGAAAAAAAATATCAGATAGTAGCTAGTATAATCCAGATAACAATGAGTATAATCCAGATTACAATGAGTATAATC